TAGTATGTATGTATAGTATGTATGTTTAGTATATATGTATGTACAGTATGTATGTATAGTAAGCATGTATAGTATGTATGTTTAGTATGTATGTATAGTATGTATGTATAGTATGTATGTATAATATGTACGTATAGTAAGCATGTATAGTATGTATGTTTAGTATGTATGTATAGTATGTATATATAGTATGTATATATAGTATGTATGTATAGTATGTATGTATAGTATGTATGTTTAGTATATATGTATGTACAGTATGTATGTATAGTAAGCATGTATAGTATGTATATTTAGTATGTATGTATAGTATGTATGTTTAGTATATATGTATGTACAGTATGTATGTATAGTAAGCAGGTATAGTATGTATGTTTAGTATACATGTTTTCGTATGACCTTTTTAAGGTAGTAAATCTACGATTTTTAATTTAGATAGTTACTTTGATGTTCATCTGCCGTTATCTAGTTCAATTTAATTGTACAATTCAGCTAATTTGACCTGTTCACCGAGTTCGAAATGAATTCGACAAAATAAATTGTGGTACATATTTTAAAACATATGTCCCCTTTACAACACGTGGTTTTAGAGCGCAGAAGATGTTAAATACACAATACAAATTAAACTAAAGTAAGTAAAGTTTGAAATAATAATTCAGTAGGTTTGAAATAATAACAGTTTAAAATTGAGAACATCGAATGAATAAATCAAAATTGAAATTCGTACCTGAAATTATTTGGTTCCCCGACGTTCCAATTCTCGAACGTGATGGGTCTGCCATTGGCCATCCAGAAGAAGGTGCCTTCTTCAGCTTGATCGGTACCAGAAGTCCAGAAATGTTCATGCCCCAGGCCAAAGTCTTTGATATGCTTCTCGAGCCTGTCGTTCTCCTCCTGCGATGCTATACTCGCCAGATGCATTCCGTGATATCGGCAATATTGGGACGCCCTGTACCAGTTGGCCTAAAACACACAGAATGTAATTAGTTAAGGAACAATGAATATTTAGCGTCTTCTGTGAACATTATACACAATAAATTGAATAATCATTATGTAAATCGAATACATAATACAATGAATACTGATGAATTGTAGGTTATGTTTGATATGTGTGCAGGGCTTATTATACATGTATGTATGTATATGTCTGTGGAAGTTTAACCATATGGGTATGGGGTTTAATTTAACCCTGTGTTTTGTATATTCGAAATGTAATAATTTATGTTATTTGTAGAAGTAGTTTATTATTATTTAGTACGTGGACCACCTTAACAGATATGTAATATCTGTATTATATGTAATAATACATAATGTATTATATGTAGTAATACAGATATGTTATATGAACACGTATGTGATATAAGAACTACATTAGCAAGTATGTGATACAGGAACTACATTAGCAAGTATGTAATATAAGAACTCCATTAGCAATATAAAAGTAATATAAAATCCATTAGTAATATAAAAAATCCGTTGACAATTATATAATATAAGAACTGCTAAATTTGTAATAAAAATTACATTGACAAAAATCTTATTACTCACAACCTCAACCTTTTTTACAAACTTAATTTTTCAGAATGAAATGTGCAACTTCCTTTCAGAGTTTTTCATACTTCCCAATAATTTTTGCTAACATAATAATTAATTAAATATACCTGCACTTGTATCGAACGTTCATTAATAAAACATGAAGCAAATTCTCTAATTTATTGTAATCGCTTAAAGGAATAGCAGCTTAAAAGCTCATGATCGAGAGATCTCATTAGTGGTGCGTGATCCTTGAGCTTCGACGAAGACTATAAAAAATTACCTCATCTGAATATTTATGGTAAACTGTTTGGACGGAGAAATGAGGTTTGGCTAGGGTGAATAATATTTACACTAATTTTAATAATAATGATGCTATTGTAATGTATGGCTTTGGAAATCGATAGAAATGAAGGGAGCAACAAATTTGAGTATTAATTGCAATTCTTTTGCGATATTTGAACTTTTATTAATTAATTATTTAATAGGGGTTGAATGTGGTTCTAATAATAGCTCTGAAAATGTTAATTGATTTAAATATGAAATTGTTTAAATATAGCTTGATATAGTTTTATATAATTTTGATACATTTTAATGTACTTTGATATGAATTAATATATTTTATTATGGTCTGACATTGTCTGACATAATTTCATATAAAATTCATTTTAATATTTTTAAATATGCAAGTAGCTGTCTAACTGCAATTTAATTATTTCATTTCTGGTACGTTCATTATGACGTTTTATTCTTCATGTAACCACGTGCAAATTAAATATGGTGAACTTTAATAGAGACAATTAAAATCTGATATGTTTTAGTTGAAATACTACCCTGATAAATCTCTCGCCTCATAAAACTCAATCCAACATTTCGTTTAATTTTTGAAACCTTTAATTTCAAAACTCAACATCTTCGTTACATTCCCCAAAATCTTTTTACAAAAATATACAATCTAAATTACTCAACTCTTCAAAAAATCCGGAAAGTAACCACTATAAATCACTAGCCGTTAAACAGAAGCGTCCAAACTTTCATCCGCAGCACGGACATTAATTACGCAGCAGAATTCTAACTAAAATGGCCGGCAGTGGTTTTGAAGTGTTGTAAACATTGCGGCAAGTACTCCTCAAAAGTTTTCATACATATCACCGAGCGAATATAACCGAAAACCGTGACGGTTTGTATTACCGTTTTCTTTCGAGGGGAAATACAAACGAACAGGGCTTCGAAAGGATTCAATGACGCATAGAGCGAAGCACGGAACGTTGGAAGAACGGAGAAGGAAAAAGAAAGGGATTTTGAACGACACAGGCGCAATCGCTGCAGGGACGTTCTATTTACTGCGCTTTATTTGCATTCCCGTCGGGTTACACGCGATTTTTCGTGTCCTCAGTTCATCCCCTTTTTTTCCTGTTTCCACGGAGGTGGAACACGTCCCGAGCAACCTCGGGGAAAACATTCCTCCGCGTCGACACGAAAATCGCATTCGTTGCCGGCGAATTTATGACACGAGGCAGCCTTTGAACCGTGCCCGATGTCCAACGATATCTTGCGCCAAAAAATATTGACAATACCCTGACACGTTAAAAGCCCGGCGAATACTTGTCTGGGGAACAATCCCACTATGCAGATGCTTCCAACTTTTACGATAACGATTCGATACTACATCGATACTGTGTCAAACACGAGCTGACGCAAAGTAAAAGAAGTTTCGCCATAAACACATTCAGCGCTATACAAGCAAATAAGAATAATAATTACAAATTTTTTATTCTAATTAGATGATTTCTGGGTCAGCTTTATAATCTTCAGCTTCATACGCCAACTGCTAGGTTGATGTTTCCATACTTTCAGAGGTGGATGAAATCTTTTCATACTGGGTCATCGATCACTTTTGGACCTCAACATCTGCGATGTTGCTCTAATCAAAATATGTCATAGTCCATGTGAAATTAGGGAGGGTTTAAGTCATCATTTCGCCAGTTTCGAATTTGTTAAGGAACAACCCTTCAAAGTTTGCAATTTTTGTCCATTTTTGCGAAAATAGGCTTCACTTACGAATTTTTTTCTCAGAAACTACTCAACCGATTTAGCTAATTTTTTTTTGCTTTATTCATAAAGGATTGGGCTATTTTAAAATATTTTTTTTAATTCCGTCAATTTGTTATGAAATGTTGCAAAATTTAAACAGATTCTTTTTTTGCGTTTTTTTCAATGGGGGGCGTAAAGGGTTTAAATTTAAAAAAAATATGGTCTTATTCTTTGAAGCTTCCCCTTTAAAATGAGTCCTTCAGAAGGATGGAGACTCGAAAACTGACGTCACTACAAGGTAGAAAAATCGCGGGGTATTTGGTTTTAATGGTGAACAGGAAAACGTACTGAAAAATGAAAAGAAAAACATATTTAGAGATGCTGAAAAAGAAATGAAAGAAAATGATGCACCAGAACTATTTTAGGTACCCTGCGATGCGCTTCGAACAAAATGGCGGAACGTGTCGTCCTCTTCTTGACATTTCTCTGATCTTAACTCTAATAATTTTTGAAGGCGAATTTTTTTCTAACATTTATTTCTGCAATAATTGTAACGTAGTATAAAGTAGATCTACATATGCATATGTTACATGTCTTTTATTATGTGCTGTGTCTTCATTAACTTGATAGTTAAATAAACCCTTTGCGTTCAAAAAGAGAAGTCAGAGAATTAGGAGAAACAGTCAGTTTAATATAACATTTTGAAATTAGTATTTCCTTAAATTATTGAACGTATGGATGTGCCGTATAATGTGAGTATTTCACAGTATTTCACAGTATTTTACAGAATGTACATAAACATATAATGGACTACAATAATAAAAATTAATAATAGAGAAATAACTTCAAACTTTTCAACTGCAAGGTTTCAAAGTTGTCATCAATAAAAGTACCCCCGAGTGCAAATATCAGATTTCCGCGTTGATTTAAATGCTTTGTACTTTATAAATAAGCTCGAGAGGGAGATTAAAATAGAGAAGTGTCAGAGCTTGCAATTTCTATGCTGATTTAGATACACAGTTTATAACCGTAAAAGAACAACGAGCAATTTGAAAGCTTAAACGAGCGACTTGAAATGGACCAGCAATCTTTTATCTATAAATCGATACGCGATGCTTCATATTTTCACATTAATAAATGGACGCAGAAACGATAACGTAATTCACAAAAGGATGAAAAATGAAGGTGAACGATTCGAAAGAGATACAGAACTTAGCGGAGCGTTCGAATAAACTCGAACCGGTGCGTTCTTTCTTTCATCGGGAATAAAGTAAAATGGTAATTACGAGGGGGAAAAAAAAGCTGGCCAACTCGTATACGCGAATAATTCTTTTCACGTTCATCGATTGCCATGGGTAATTTGCTGGACAAAACGAGTGGCTGGCCTCTCTTCTCCCATAAAGAACCGGTATTTTCATCGCAGATAGCGATTCGCGAATCAATTCGATTACGGCATTAAAACGCGAATTAAGCGGATGCTCGATCATTTGGAACCTTTATGGCAACTTTGGAGACGATAAAAATCCGAGTTACGAGAAACTTTCTACGGTTTCCTTTTTTTTCCTCAAGCTTTTATCGGTGACACGGTTATTTCGTTGGAATATCGAAATGCTGCAGAAAATTTCCTCCATTTTAAAGATTCCACACAGGATAATCAAGAATTTCTTTGTGAGATGAGCTCTTAATATCGGTTACAAGAATATCGAAAGCAATTTTATTTTTTTTGGTCCTTGAAATTTTTTGTTAACATGCAGTTACATATGTTGTAATTACAACGTATGTTATGATATATATGTATTACATTACACGTATGTTATAATACACATATGTGTTACATTACAAGTATGTTATAATGCACATATGTATTACATTACACATATGTTATAATATACATATTTATTACATTACACATATGTTATAATACACATATATGTATGTATGCATTACATTACACGTATGTCATAATGCACATACTATGTATTACATTATACATATATTATAATGCACATATGTATGTATTACATTACACATATGTTATAATACTCATATGTATTACAGTACACATATTACTTAACTCATATGTGATAATTAAAAAACATCAAGTAATGATGTAACTATACACATACATACATGTACAACATACATTGATAAAACTGTACATACACATACATGTGCAACATACATTGATGTAACTGTACACACACATACATGTATAACATACATTAATGTAACTGTACACATACGTACAGTCAAAGTCACATACAAAGAATTATATTAAAATTTGTCATTTTTCCACATAACATCATTTACAGTTTTCCTAAATATATACACTAAAGACTTGATTTGCAAAAGAATGAATATAATTTGAAAAACGTGTACAAGTTCTCAAGGTAAAG